ATCTTGGCCCTGGGAGCGCGAATCCAGTGTAATTTACGAGGGGTGCGCGAAACCTGAATAATTTACGATGGATCGTGCCTCTGGGAGCGTGAATCCCGCGTAATTTGCGAGGGATCGCGGCCCTGGGAGCGTGAATCCCGCATAATTTGTGAGCGATCGCGGCACTGCGAGCGCGAACCCTTCGTAATTTACGAGGGACCGTGGCCTTGAGGGCGCGAATCAAGCGTAAATTACGAGGGATCGCGGCCTTGGGCGCGCGGACGCAATGTAATTTACGAGGGATCGCGGCCTTGGGCGCGCGGACGCAATGTAATTTACGAGGAATCGCGGCTTCAGGTCCAGCGCTTGATTTTCAGGAAATGGCGAGGGGGCCGAAAAGCGCACCCCGAGCACATATCCCAATACAGAAAAGTATTGGTTTCTGCTCTGGAGAGGGGGGGGGGCCCTTTGGGGCAACCTCCGCGCGGTTCTTCGCGACCCTGGGAGCGCGGACGCACCGTAATTTACGAGGGATCGTGGCCTTGCGAGTGCGAATGCCGCGTAATTTACAAGGGATCTTGGCATTGGGAGCGCGGACGCAGTGTAATTTACGAGGGATCGTGGCCCTGGGAGCGTGAATCCCGCGTGGTTTACGAGGGATCTTGGCACTGGGAGCGCGAATCCAGCGTAATTCATGAGGGCGCTATTCTGCCCACGCGCCCTGCCGGAAACCGGCTCAGAGGCGGCAGTGGTGCCCAAGCGCCGTGCCAAGGGCTGGCGCATGGCTTCTGTACTGTACTATGGCATGTCCCTCTGCTTGTCTCCTGGCAAGTTCTTTACGGCACGGCACAGCGCAGCGCAGCGCGACCCAGCCCCTGCCGCAGTTTCATCACCATCGAAATCTTCAGTGCTGGCCATTGCCCAGCCGATGCGTTTCGAAACGTTCCCATGCGTCACAGTTCTATATCCCTTTCCGAGTTCGTGGGTACGACCACATGCTAGATATTTCCCCCTGGGCGGCTCAGACACGTGAGAATACATGGGTTTCTCACGCCCCAGGGCGGGTCAAGCGAGAAAACACATGGGTTCCTAACGCCCCAGCGCGGGACAAGCGTGAAAACACGTGGGTTCCTAACGCCCGAGAGCAGGGCGAGCGTGAACACACGTGGGTTCTTAACGCCCCAGCGCGGGACAAACGTGAAAACACGTGGGTTCCTAACGCCCGAGAGCGGGACATGCATGAAAACATGTGGGTTCCCAATTTCCCAGCGCGAGACTAGCGTGAAAACACGTGGGTTCCTAACGCCCGAGAACGGGACAAGCGTGAAAACACGTGGGTCCCCTTCGCGCCAGGGCGGAACAAGCGTGAAAGCATGTGGGTCCCTTTCGCGCCTGAGCGGAAAAAGCCTGCAAACACGTGGGCCCCTGTCGCCCCAGAGCGGAACAAGCGTGAAAACACGTGGGTTCCTTTCGCGCCAGAGCGGAACAAGCGTGAAAACACGTGGGTCCCTTTCGCCCTTGAGCGGAACAAGCGTGAAAACACATGGGCCCCTTTCGCCCGAAAGCGGAACAATCGTGAAAACACGTGGGTCCCTGGCGCCCCTGTGCGGAACAAGCGTGAAAACACGTGGGTCCTTTTCGCCCCACAGCGGAACAAACGTAAAAACACGTGGGTCCCTAACGCCCGAAAGCGGAACAAGCGTGAAAACACGTGGACCTTTTTCGCCCCAGAGCGGAACAAGCGTGAAAACACGTCGGTCCTTTTCGCCCCAGAGTGGAACAAGCGTGAAACCACGTGGGTCCCTTTCGCCCATGGGCGGAACAAACGTGAAAACACGTGGGTCCCTTTCGCCCCAGAGCGGAACAAGCGTGCAAAAACGTGGGTCCCTTTCGCCCCAGAGCGGAACAAGCATGAAAACACGTGGGTCCCTTGCGCCCCAGAGCGGAACAAGCGTGAAAACACGTGGGTCCGTTTCGCCCCTGAGCGGAACAAGCGTGAAAACACTAGGGTTCCGTTCGCCATTGAAAACACGTGGGTCCCTTTCGCCCCACAGCGGAACAAACGTAAAAACACGTGGGTCCCTTTCGCACCAGAGCGGAACAAACGTGAAAACACGTGGGTCCTTTTCGCGCCAGAGCGGAATGAGCGTGAAAACACGTGGGTCCTTTTCGCCCCAGAGCGGAACAAGCGTGAACACACGTGGGTCCCTTTCGCCCCACAGCGGAACCAGCGTGAAAAAACGTGGGTCCCTTTCGCCCATGGGCGGACTAAGCGTGAAAACACGTGGGTCCCTTTCGCCCCAGAGCGGAACAAGCGTGAAAACACTAGGGCTTCCGTTCGCCACTGAAAAGACGTGGGCCTCTTTCGCCCCAGAGCGGAACGAACGTGAACACACGTGGGTCCATTTCGCCCTTGAGCGGAACAAACGTGAACGCACGTGGGTCCCTTTCGCCCCAGAGCGGAACAAGCGTGAAAACACGTGGGTCCTTTTCGCCCCAGAGCGGATCGCCCCAGAGCGGAACAAGCGTGAAAAACGTGGGTCCCCGGGACAAGCGTAAAAACATGTGCTGTTCAAGCCAGGGTCCGTCGCATGGCCTTCTGGGGAGGCTTCCTGGGGCAAAAGGGAACCACGTGCGTGTCTGGGCCACCCAGGAAAGGGGGATAGGAGGAGGAGGAGGTGGTGGAGGAGGAAGCTCATGAGGATGCGCACTAGGGATCTTGGCCCTCGGAGCGCGGACGCAGTGTAATTTACGAGGGATCTCGGCCTTGGGAGCGCGGACGCAGCGTAATTTACAAGGGATCGTGGCCTTCGGAGCGCAGACGCAGCGTATTTTACGAGGGATCGTGGCACTGGGAGCGCGGTCGCAGCGTAATTTACCAGGATTCGTTGCTTCGGGTCCAACGCCGGATTTTCAGGAAACGGCTGGGGGGGCGAAAAAAGTTCCCTGAACACACATCCCAGTACAGAAAAAAAATATTGTAGTGGCCTCCGGCCAGTGCCGCCGATCCGGGGCGCTCCGCATGATGATGATGATGTGGTTTTGGTGATCATGTGCATGATGATGCTGATTATGATGATGGTGATGATGATGGGGACGGGGGGGCGTTTTGGGGGCCTTGTGGAGCCTCTTGGGGGTTTCTTGGGGGCTCGTTGGAGCCTTTTGGGCGCCTCTATGCTGTTGGGAACGGATGACTTTTCATGTTAGAAAACAGCTCTCGCTCGAGAAATCCTCATAGGATAGAGATGTTGAAATCGCTTGCGGAACTTTCGGATCTTGGAAAAATACGCTCTTGCCTGAGACACATTCAAAATCATGATATGTTGAAATAGCTGTTGTACGACATCTTTGGGGGGCGCTCTTGGAGGACCCCCAAGACGGCTCAAGATGTGGAATCATTGAAGAACCAATTGTTTCGACAGACTGTTGTTCAAACGTCAGCGATTTGCAAGCATCTTGGAGGCAGTTTTTGAGCTTCTTGGGGGGCGTCTTGGAGGCATCTTGGAGGCCTCTTGTGGGCGTCTTGGAGGCAGCTTTTGCGCCTCTTGGGGGCCTTTGGGGGGCCTCTTGGGAGCCAGTTGGGGCGTCTTGGGGCCTCTTGGGGGCGTCTTGGGGCCTCCTGGGGGCCTCCTGGGCCGTCTTGGGCCCTTCTTGGGCCGTCTTGGAGCCCTTTTGGGCGCCTCTTGGGCCCGTCCTGGGGCCCTCGTGGGCCGTCTTGGGAGCCTCCTGGGCCGTCTTGGGCTCTTCTTAGGCCGTCTTGGAGCCTTTTTGGGGGCCTCTTGAACCGTTTTGGACACTGTGAAGGCCCAAGAGGCGAACATGCTAAAAATATAGGTTTTCCTAAGGGAAATCGATGATTTTGGCCGGTCGGGGCCCTTTTGGGAGACCTCTTGGGGGCCTCTTGGGGCGTCTTGGCGGCCTCTTGGGCTGTCTTGGGTTCATGTTTGGCGTCTTGGATCGATTTTGGGGGGATCCAGAAACGTCTTGGCCCGTCTTGGCGGCTTCTTGGCAACGTTTGGGCCCGTTTTGGCCAACCGAACCCCGACCAACCGAACCCAATAGATGCCCCCCCCCCCCCCCCTACCCCGGCAGAGCCACCCCGGCCCACCCCCCCCTTCAACTCACACGCTGGATCGGCGGATTTTCTGCTCTGGAGAGGGGGTTGCGCTTTTATAATTTACGAGGGATTTGCGATGGATCGTGGCCTTGGGAGCGCGAACCCAGCGTAATTTACTAGGGATCGTTGCCTTGAGAACGCGAACCCAGCGTAATATACGAGCGATCGTTGCCCTGAGAGCGCGAACCCAGCGCAACTTACGAGGGATCGTGGCCCTGGGAGCGCGAACGCCATATAATTTACGAGGGATCCTGGCCCTGGGGGCACGGACACAGCGTAACTTACGAGTGATCGTGGCCCTGGGAGTGCGGACGCCGTTGGGCGTGGGTCTTGAGTGAATGGGGCCGACACGAAAACTGATCTCTGGTGGCATTCGGAAAGGATGCCTTGATTTGCAAAGCCGAAAAATCCGGATGCGAAGTCCCAATGCCTTTACCAGCAATATTCGCGTCCGCTGTTTCCCTTTCTCCCGCCCTGCAAGGCTTACGAACTCCGTACCGACCTTACTTGCCCTGCAGGTTATTCGAACCTCGTCACGGAGACTGAGTGCGAGGCTGCACAAATTGCTTTGGGCTTGCCAGGTTACAATGGGCTGCATTTCCAGTATGACTCTCAACGTCGGCCGTACTGTTGGGTGGGACCGAGCAACGGTGTGAACTTCAACCCGAAGGGTGACTACGGTGCGAAGTCTGGTAATGCGAACTTACATGTGTTGTGCGAAGTCATTGAGGTGGCCCTTACTTGACAATTTGCCCCCTACGACCACGGGTAAGTATTAATAAATCGCTCCCTCTGCATTCCGAGCATCGCTTTCCAAGTCACAGTGCCAATTGTGCCACGCCTGCTCGTGCCCAGCGTTGCGCGCCCGCCTCTACTCCTGGGGGAGACGGGCTGGGGGACGGACAATCAATTGGGTTCACCGCGCGGAGGAGGAGGAGGAGGATTGCGTGGAGGAATGGAGCAGCAGCAGGAAAATTAGGTTGACAGGGGGGAGGGGGAGGGCGGCGGAAGGATGGGAGGAGGAAGAAGGGAGGAGAGGGAGGAGGAGGAGGTCACCCCCGCCCCACAGGGTCAGCGGTCGCTTATCTCTGTGGTTCGGTAGGCGAGGGTGGAGGGAACTGCCGCTGGTTCGGAGCTAGGGCGACCATCCTCCTCCTTTCATCCATCTCCTGGGACGCTGGGGCCTCGACTGGTCCAGGGGGTGTTGGGCTTAATGGAGGCATGGTGGCGACATGGAGGGCGCGCGGCGAGGAACTCGGAAGTGGGTGCACCTTGAGAACACCCCAGAGGCCTGGGCCTCGACTGGGGCCAGAGAGTACACCAGAGACAGGGGCGTCGACTGCGGACAGGGGTGTCAGGCGTAATGGAGGCATGATTGCGGCAGGGTGGGCCCCATGCGAGGAAATGATCATCGAGGGTTGGTAGGCCCAAGAGCACCAGGGAGTGGGGCTTGGACTTGGGCCAGGGGGTGTCGGGCTTCATGGAGGCACGGTGGCGGCAGGGCGGGCCCAGGGCGAGGAAATCTTGTGGCTGGGAGGGATCGAAGAACACCAGAGACAAGAGACTCGACCTTGGTCGTGGGTGGGCCCTGGTCGAGCTGGGATCGTGGCCCTGGGAGCGCGGCCGCAACGTAATCTAAAGGCTGCCGCCTCTGCCGCCGACCCCAATTGAGCGACGTATGTTTGATTCGTTTGTTGTCGGGCGCCTTTCCGAGTACGACAGGAAGGGTTCAGGTGAGACATCCAGGCCTGAGCCTCGCCCTCTGGACTCATGATTCTCTGTAGCACCTCGGACTCCTCTCTATCGAATGGCCTTCCCGCCACTGTGCCTAGGTTGTAGGTATGAAGCCTATTGGATGTTCGTTGGGATTTCGTAGTGGACCTTTTTGTTGAGGCCTCCTGGGGTCAGTTTTGCGGCCACTGGGATGCAGTTTTGAAGCCTCTTCGGGGGAGTTTTGGAGCCTCTTGGGGTCGCTGTTGGGTCCCTTGGGGGCCTCTTGGAGCCTTTTCAGGCCTCTTGGGTGCCTCTTGGGGCTCCTGGGGCCCTCTTGGATGCCTCTGGGGCACTCCTGGGGTGGTATTGGGGACCTCGGGCCGTCCGGGAGCGTCGGAAAGGAAACATGCGAGAACGCCTACTTTTTTAAGCAACGAAGGCAAGTCAATGGTTTTTGCCTTTCAGGGTTCTCTTGGGAGGCATCTTCGAGGCCTCTTGGGGCATCTTGGAGGCCTTTTGGGCCATCATGAAGCCATGTAGGGCGTAGGCCCACGCTGTTCCGCAACCGTCGCGCGAGAAACCGCGAGAAGCCCCAGGAGAAGATTTTGCGATGTGGGGTCTGGGTCTCTGAACGACTCCTCAATAATGAGGACTGAGGTTGAGAGGATGATGGAAGGACCTGAGGGCGCGCCCACTCCGTGCCCAGAGGCACGGTGGCTGATCTACATAACCATGAAAATCTGATGATCATGGTTCTGACGGATCGCATCGCATTTCCGAGCTCCAATGGGGGAGCCGCCTGAGGGTATTTCAAGTTGTTTTTGGTTGGAATCGTAGGGGTGGCAGTGACTCGGGTTAGCGGTCGGTGGATTGGGCGAGGAGGCAAATATTATCCAGGAGCAGCGATGACCCCATCTCCGAAGGGGAAACATGGGGTTGGACAAGGAATCGCGATTGACCATCTCCTGCCCAGGAGGAGGGGGGGGATCTAGGAGACCCCATGCGAGAAGTCGTCCAGGTCGGTTTCGACGAAGCCATCATCGTTCTTTCGGGCCTTGGGATGCCGCCTGCGAGGCGCTCCGGTCGGTCTCGCCTGAGACCTCCCTGCAAGTGCGGGCTTCGAGATGCCGCGCGAGAGATAGTCCAGCCCATTCCGCTTAGACATCCTCGTCGCTGTCCTGAGGCGGTCCAGCTCTTTTGGCTTGAGACATCCTCGCTGTTGTAGGCTTCGAGGCACGCGATAGGACCATCCAGCTTCCCCCCCACACACACTCGCAACTCAGGGCCCATGGATGCCCTGACCTGAGCTGGTCCAGCCAGTTTCGCTTCACACTTCGTCACAACTCTGGGTTCGGATATGACCTGGCCTAAGGTCGTGAAGCCATATTCGCCCCCAGACAGAGCACCAGTGACAGGTGGCGAGGATGGCTTCATCATGACGATCATGATGAACTCGGTGATGATGATGACGACGATCACGCGGTAGAGCGGTTAATGAGGAGGCATATGAGCAAGTATGAGGAGGCAGATGAGCAACTATGAGGCGTAGTAGTAATAGTAGTCGTAGTAGTAGTAGTAGTCGTAGTAGTAGTAGTAGTAGTAGTAGTAGTAGTAGTAGTAGTAGTAGTAGTAGTAGTAGTACTAGTAGTAGTAGTAGTAGTAGTAGTAGTAGAAGTCGTAGTAGTAGTAGTAGTAGTAGTAGTAGTAGTAGTAGTAGTAGTAGTAGTTGTAGTAGTTGTAGTAGATGTAGTAGTAGTAGTAGTAGTAGTAGTAGTAGTAGTAGTAGTAGTAGTAGTAGTAGTAGTCGTAGTAGTAGTAGTAGTAGTAGTAGTAGTAGTAGTAGTAGTAGTAGTAGTAGTAGTAGTGGCACTAGTAGTAGTAGTAGTAGTAGTACTAGTAGTAGTACTACTAGTAATATAGGTAGCAGTAGTGGTAGTCGTAGTAGTGGTGGTAGTAGTAGTGGTAGTAGTAGTAGTAGTAGTAGTAGTATTCCTAGCAGTAGTAGCATGAACGGTACTAGTAATAGTAGTAGTAGAAGTAGTAGTAGCAGTAGTAGACGTAGGAGGAGTAGCAGCTGTACTAGTACTTGTAATATCACTAGTACTCGTATTACTACGAATAGTAGTAGTAGTAGTAGTAGTAGTAGTAGTAGTAGTAGTAGTAGTAGTAGTAGTAATACTAATAGAACTAGTAATAGTAGTAGTCGTAGTAGTAGTAGTAGTAGTAGTAGTAGTAGTTGTTGTAGTAGTAGTAGTAGTAGTGGTAGAAGTAGTAGTCGTAGTACTAGTAGTAGTAGTAGTAGTAGTAGTAGTAGTAGTAGTAGTAGTTGTACTAGTAGTAGTAGTTGTAGTAGTAGTAGTTGTTGATTTAGTTGATGTTGTCGTAGCAGTAGTATTGGCAGTGGTGGTGTATTTCTAGTACTACTAGAACTACTGGTTAGTCGTAGTCGTATTAGTAGTAGTGGCTCGGCCATAGTCGTAGTAGTGGTCGTAGTAGTTAGTTAGTTGTAGTAGTAGTTGTAGAAGATGTTTAGTTTAGATTAGTAGTAGTAGTTAGTAGTAGTAGTAGTAGTGTAGTAGTAGTAGTAGTGTAGTAGTAGTAGTAGTAGTAAGTCGCTAGTAGTAGTAGCCAGGGGCCGTAGGAGAAGGGAGTAGTAGGTAGTAGGAGTAAGTAGGCGTCGGAATAGGACTGGGGGTAGTGTGAGTAAGTAGGAGTAGGAGTAGGAGTCAAGCTAGCCAGCTCGAGCGAGTCAAGCATGGCATGCCCAGTCCCACCCGCCCTCCCACAACATAGAAGCAAAGCTGGCACAACTGGCGGCCGAAGTCACACCGGCCAGCCGGTTTGGTACAGCTGATGCGGCCGCGATGGCGGTTGCCGACGGGAACTGGCGAGCGCGTGTTGAATGCCGCGCACGCATTGCCAGACGAGTCGAGAATGGCCCGGTACACCGCAGGAAGCCAGAGGTGGCCGGAGGAAGCACGACGGTCTGACAGGACACCCCAAAGCATTTTTGTGAAAAAGCATTGGGTTTTTGATGTTTTTATGTTGAAATGCTTGCAAACACACGGTGTTCGGTAGGATTCTGACATGAACGCGCGCGTGAGCTCTTTGTGGTATTTTTTGCACAGGATTCGCGGCCTGGGTGCATGACAGAGCATCGCGAGTGCACCGCGCGATGACGTGAAATCGCTGGATTTGACCGAATTCTTAAGATTCCTATGGTTTTCATATGATTTCAGCAAGAGAGCCCGGGCGGGAAATTTGTACAATTTTTGTGAAAAGCATTGGGTTTTTGATGTTTTTATGTTGAAATGCTTGCAAACACAAGGTGTTCGGTTGGATTCTGACATGAACGCGCGCGTGTGCTCTTTGTGGTATTTTTTGCAATTGATTATCGCCGTGGACGACAAGACGTCCATGTCGAGAGGAAAAAATAAGAAAAATGTTGATTTTGTATTGTTTTTTACAGGTTAGGATGGGACCCCCCGGATGCGGCCCCTAATGGCCGGCCTGAGGGGGGAGTAGGAGTATATTCTAATAAGAAATAAGGATAGGAGTAGGAGTAGGAGTAGGAGTCAAGCTAGCCAGCTCGAGCGAGTCAAGCATGGCATGCCCAGTCCCACCCGCCCTCCCACAACATAAGAAGCAAAGCTGGCACAACTGGGGGCCGAAGTCACACCCGCCAGCCGGTTTGGTACAGCTGATGCGGCCGCGATGGCGGTTGCCGACGGGAACTGGCGAGCGCGTGTTGAATGCCGCGCACGCATTGCCAGACGATTCGAGAATGGCCCGGTACACCGCAGGAAGCCAGAGGTGGCCGGAGGAAGCCCGACGGTCTGACAGGACACCCCAAGGGGGCCCAGGAGGCCCCAAGAGGCAGGAGTAGTAGTACCAGTGGTAGTGGTGTTGGTAGTGGTAGTGGTAGTAGTAGTAGTAACAGAAAAAGTAGTGCTATGACAAGTATTTGCAGTACTACTAGTACTAGTAGTATTAGTAGTAGTAGTAGTAGTAGTAGTAGTAGTAGTAGTAGTAGTAGTAGTAGTAGTAGTAGTAGTAGTAGTAGTAGTAGTGGTGGTTGTAGTAGTAGTAGTAGTAGTAGTAGTAGTAGTAGTAGTAGTAGTAGTAGTAGTAACAAAAACTGTGTATTGTCTTTTGCAGATTAGAATGGGACGGATTGGATGGGCGGGCGCG